ATAAAAAGTATTCTAAGAATTTGTATATAAGATGTATATGTATATCATATAGCCATATGATTTAATGAGTTCATTGGAAGTCGTCAATGAGATAGCATTTTCGTATAATTAATTCCGGAGCTAAACACAATCTCGTCTCCTTTCAATTAAACTTTTTAATTACGTAATAAATAGATAAGTCATCCAAGAATTTCGTTTAAACGATCGCTTAATACTTCATATAATAAACTATATTTAAACAACTTCATAGCATACATACATATATTGTTAGTAGGAACTATGTGTAACATAAGACTTTGCGAGTATTCATTTAAATTATACAAATATTTTTAGGATGTACTCTTGATGTTTCGGTTATCGAGTATCTTTTTCTACCTGGCAATTTTCCAGATTTAGCCAGGGTCTGCCTTACATGTTGTTAATAGTTTGGGCTAATTGTTTTTACGACCGGCCGCCTGCCTGACATCACATCAACCGTCTTTGGGAATGCATTAATCAGTGATGTCTAAATACTCTTAGAAAGTACATATGACTCGGAAAAATCACATTGATACGTGCCAGGGCCAGGATCGAACCCGCGTCTTCGTGCATGAGAGACGGGCCTTTTAACCACTAGGCCACCACTGACTTATTAAGTTTCGGTTATCGAGTATGTGGTTTTAAAATAATAAAATACGCGTAGTAATAAAAAAAATATTAGTTTCATTTATTTCTTACTTTTTATCGCAGCTTCTCTAGAAAATAAAAACAAATAAGACTTTATTATATACAAATAAACTACGTAACAAGAAATGTATAAATAATATTATAACAGAGATTATAATCATGATGAATAATCAAAGGCTCGCGTATATTAAATTATGATTTGAGAATACTGAAACGTTTAATATGCGTACGAGATGCGGTAAATGGCTCTTAAGAAACTCTTATGAGATGGCATATTTAAGACGTGAGCCATCAATTTAATAAAAGCGAGAATAAATTCCCCAGCCTCACTTTATTAACCTTCCCTGTATGAATATAATTTGAGAGTGACTCTCATAATTTACGGAATCTCTAAAAAAATTACCGGCCGAAGACCTCTCGGTGAGACGGAGGTTTTATTATGACAAAATTTATGACAGCAAATTAACCTTGTTAAATGAGAATCATGTTGTACTTAGCCGCTTAACGTGTGATTTACGAAATTTTAACGGTATTTCAATTGTTTTGTGGCTATAATTTCTTTCTCCATACATGAACATGTATTTTTTTTCATAAACCAGGCCTTTAAATAAACGATTATAATTATATTTGAATCCCATAATTGTTTTAAAACCAAGAATGCACATTTATTTAAAGTGAAAGTTGACGCTATTTGTATAGCTAATGTTATGTCAAGAAGTATCATTAAGAAACAATTAAATACATGAACAAAAAACATATCTTTGACACTAATATAAGTAATAATTATAGCTAATAGTGCTTCTCACTAATGTTATATGAAATATAATACCAATTTAACGGATTTAATAGTACATTTGATTTATATACAACGAAAAAATTGTGTCAGTACCTTCAATTTAGACAAATTAAAAGTTGTAACTGCTCCGCAAGTTTCAGCAAAAGATTTAGGGCACATCACAGGGACCCTCATATAACTCAAAAAACTCGAAATTCGTTCCAAAGTAATACGGGCTAGTGACGTTTGAAGGGACGAGGAAGGGCCCCTGACACAGTAGGTAAACCTTCACTAATAATATTTAATATTTAAGTGATGCTGTTTATGTAGGTACATATGAAAAAAATACATAGAAACCTTATTGGTAGTATAGATACTTGATAAACAAAACAACCTTTACATAGTGTAAGATTATCGCAACTCCGTACGCTTTTTTTTAATTTTATTATAAAAGGTACCTTATTTTGACGGTTTATACTAAAATATGTTATATGTTTTCCATCAATATGAATAAAAAAAGCGAAGCAAATCTAATTTTAATAATAAACATATGTATACATCTAGATATATAAAAGGAAGTTGTGTTAGTTACACTTCTTATAATTCAAGAACGGCTGTAGGGATGTAGTCGAAAATTGGTGGAGAAATAATTTAGAACCAGGATATATACCTACATAGTATATTTAATTATGTTCGAACAAAAAAGAAAAAAAAAACTTAAGAAATTACAATTTTTGACTAATTATTTACAGTCTCTAAGGCGGAATAGTTTTCGCCCGGTCAGCTACATATATTACTAATTCCGATATTAACGCGGACGAAGTCGCAAGCAAAAATTATATAAGTATGAATTAATGTAACACACCTACAATATAACACTCGTTAAAATTACATTCAAGTGCATGACAACTGTTTACGTTCTACTCTCATACGGGCTTACTCGAGCCTCAACCGTGAAACAGTGTAACGACCTTCTGAAAAACAACAAAAAACCCAAGGAATTCATTAATTTACAACTGAAAGCGATACAGTTCGTGACTGTGAACCTCAAGAGTGCATACAACATAGTATGTCAACCTTGCAAAGTGCCGCTAATTAAGAGAACTTTATACATAGAGGGCACTACATAGAGGTAACTCACTATTGTTATATAATAAAGAAAAATATTTAATAAAACATACAAACAACAGGATTTGTGTTAAATGAAAATCTTATACAAAACGTGTGGAATTATTATTAACTATTCAATATTATCCTTATTTTAAATTAATAACATAACATAAGAAGAAAATAATATATTTTTAATCGCGTCCCCTAGAACACATTAGTGGCATTAAATATTCTCTATTCCGTACCACAATCAATGGCACATTTATCGTATAACCGGAATCAATATATAATTGGTATTTTAGTCCTTAATTTATCACAAATAAAGGTCATTTTAGCTTGTACATTATCGACATTGAACTTTCCCGATCTGGATGTATTAAATTGCAAGTGACCTTTGATGGAAGCTTAGGTTCTGTAGAATTATAATCCTCTTTACCAAAAAGGGTATGCGATTAATAATTCAATAAGCGCCACCTAGCGGCCACCTTAGACAAGTTTAGGGTTCATTTATATATGAATTATATGTTTATTAAGTAATAAAATATGTTTTAATTAATTAATTATCAGTATAATCCTTAATTGGGATTTTTCTTAAAATTTGGATCGTACCTTTAACTGCCAATTTCACTCGCCAAAGAAAAAAATACATATTTGAATTTCTCAAAATTAATTTAATCATTAATACTTTCATTAGAATAAGAACGACGTATATTTAAATATAAGAAATGTTTTGAGCAAATATTGTATTTGCTTATTTGTTCTTATTTGCTTTTAATAAATGAAATATGAGATAGATTTGAATTCAAAATTAAAATTTCAAGACATTAAAATATATTCTAAATGGAAAGCTGAATGCGTGAGTATTTATTAAAATAAGACATAGAAAATATAGATTTTGTTTTCATTAAATAGAAAAGCAAAGGGAATAAGCACAAAAATGTTTTTATCTTAGTTTACAATACAAATTAGGTATATTTGATAATATCGTTGCATAAATATTTATGATAAGAAATAAAAGGAATGTAAGAAAAACAGCTGTCAGTGATTAATAAAACCTAACTGTACTGTAAGCGATGGTATTACATTCGGTTTCAATTACAGAATTCATTCTGATTTTTCATTCTGAATTTTAAAACTATTGTAGGCAAATTAAATAAATTTTGATCAGACGATACTAGAAATTATAAGGTAAAATTTAAGAAACATATATAGTTAAGTCAGTAGTGGCCTAGTGGTTAAAAAGGCCCGCCTCTCATGCATGAGGGCGAGGGTTTGATCCTGTGAATGTGATTTTTTCGAGTCATATGTACTTTCTAAGAGTATTTAGACATCACCGATTAATGTATTCCCAAAGATGGTTGATGTCAGGCAGGCGGCCGGCCGTAAAAACAATTAGACAAAACTATTCACAACATGTAAGGCAGACCCTGGCTAAAGCTCAGAAATTGCCAGAAAGAAGAAGATATAGTTATATTATGACACCAAATATTTTAAGCAAATTTTTTTTATCATTGTTTTTAAGCCAAGTGAAATCTTACTTACATAGAAATAAGCAATCCTTACTACACATCTTACTTACTACGAGAGTGTTCAAATAATCATATTAAAATATATAAAATAATTAATATAACTTATAAATAATTCAATACTTGTATCATAATTAGCAGTCAAAGTGTGGGTTATTAATCAATGTATGATTTTAACATATGTTATTAACACCGCGCTCCTATTTATTAGTGGATCGCTAAATATATCAAATATTAACCACTACCAATATTATTGGATAATTGTTTTAATTTTAATTCTCCATACTTGTGTAGAATGTACGATAACGGAAAATAATTTTGAATTGGATTGGATCTTTGGAATAAAATATGACAGATTAAAAGCATTAAAAAATTATTACACATATTGCTTTTACTATGTAAATTATTGCATTTTAATATATGAAAACTATGTCACTTTTTCTGTATCAATTACTATAGACTCATTTGATAATTAACACATTTTATGAGGATCATATATATATGTTATATATTATGTATCTATATAAGGGCAATCAATTTCTTATTACAACACATGTTGTTTACTAGCAATGAGTCAAGGTAATAATGTTCTTAATTGTTGTATGGGAATTGTATAGTTTAGCTTTTTTGATTACTGAAGCAAAAAATATAATTGTTATATATGTCTTTCGCATTTTCAATGATACTATGAATAATTTAAATCATGGACTTTTTGAGACGAATTTTGGTTTTGAGAAGAATTACAACTGAAATGTTTTTCAAAAACAGTTACGTATTGTTCAAGATGACTTAAAACAATAATATTACATTTAAAAAACAAATCCTTTCTCTTAACCTGTGTTAGGACATTTATTGTCGTTGAATAGTTTGTTAGGTGATTTTTTGAATGTTTGTTTTCACAACAAATGATCAACAAGTATATCTTACCTAGTGTTTATCTGATGGGATCTCCTTTCAGTCCTTCGCTTTTTACTCTCACTTTCCACTTTTCTTTCACTGTTGTCACGTATCGTATGATATTTCGGTTGGTAACTTTCTAGTTGCGTGTATAAACGCGCGCGTGGAGCGTCAGAGGGGGCCCGCTGTGTCATGGTGCGTCCGTTCTCTCCGGCTGTCGGAGGCACACTGGCATACACTCTTTCAGCCACCCCAGGCCTTCGTTTTTCCTCGAAAGCCATCCGCGGCGGCTTTGGTTGCATGAGGTTGATCTTCTTCTTCTTAGCGGTTGATGTAACGTAAAAAAAATAGCCATTGCGATCCATTTTTGGGGTCGTTGCTTTCACCTGGAAACAAAATATATAATATGTACTTAAAATATATTTGATAATATTTAAGATAAACAGGATTCAATGATAAGCACTGAACAAAATTATTTTTCTATTAACACAAACTTCAAAATCATTTTATTAGCCATTTTTAATAGAGGTAGGTACCTTTAGTAAGACGTAATAATTAAATCAATATAAATTGTATTTTTTGTTTATTTCATATTAGGACACTTAAAATAAAATAACCATTACAAATTTCACGTAAGAGATTTTTTTGTGTAACGTACCAATCACTCATTTATATTTATTACTTAGTAAATGTTTAAACCAAAGAATCAATTATTTTACTATTCTAACGGTAGACTTTTGTCAATTTATACTTACAGATAGATTCATGAATGAAAAGCTGTTTTAATACAGCTGAATCTAAAATATAAGGACATATTTTTTATTACCAGTTTATATACGAAATTTTCCTTCTCAATACGAGTGGGAATAATATGATTTTTTATAATGTGCCCGTTACGAAAACTTAGATAGTATGAGTGATAGCAAAAGCTATGTAATAATTAACAATTCTATATAAGTTAAAATTTAAGATCAAATTGTTATAGAAGTACTACAGTATTAAAAAAACACAACTAAAGCCATGATGTACAATTATCTTATATACCAATACTAGAATTAACAAAAATATCTATTTTTTGAAAAAATATTAAAAGACAATTATATAAAACATATGTAACATTGTTTTAACTCGATTGTCACTTGACACAATGGAAATGTTTACATATGTATGTATGTACATATGACGGGGGCGGGTGCAAAAAAACATTTTTATTTTACCACCGAAAAGGTTGAGTGTGGAATAAATACTGTGAGTATGAAAGCCAATTACCTAAAGATATACTTTTATGGTAACGGGCTTACGTTCGTAAATTTTATTATATAAATGTATATAAAAAGTCGTGGTGGCCTAGTGGTTATAGACCAGGCTCTCATACATGAGGACGCGCGTTCGAAACCTAGCAAGTACCAATGTGATTTTTCCGAGTCATATGTACTTTATAAGAGTATTTAAACATCACTGACAGACGGCGAAGTAAGAAATGAGGAAACCTGGACTTATAATTTCAAATTATAAGTTTGTAATCGCCAACCCGTCGTGAGCAAGCGTGGTGATTATATATATATATATATATTTAGATTTCAACATTTATTCCTATATTTCAAGATACTTGTAAAGACACTCGTTATAAATCCTATATTCTATCATACAGTCAGATATTAAGGCAAAATAAATATACAAAACAAGTGAAATTCATGCACCCTACAGCAATCCAACCATCGATCATTCGACGCAAAACCTGCATTATAGGTTCACCCTTATATACAATACATAATGTATTATACTAATAGTATATAACTATGGATAAATTCAATATGTATGACACTTTGTTTTGATGTTGTACATTATGACTGTTATATTTGTATAAGTGTAGAGTGTATATTCTGTAACATATTTAAAGGACATCAAAAATTGAGATATAGATTTAAGAAATATGTTTATATCAATGTAGAATGAGTTTTAGATTATTTTCAACCGACTTTAAAAAAGGAGGAGGCTATCAAATCCTTTAAATTATTTTATGTTTGTTACCTAATAACTTACGGCAAGGTGAAGCGATTTTAATCTTTTTTTATTTTGGTCTTATTTTAATTTGATCTAGTTGTTTCAGTGGCAACCTTGAGAAAACCACATAAGTCTATAATTAGCATTATTTGTGCGACAAATGAACAAGCAACGTCAACGACAACTGATTTAGATTTATTTAATTATAAAAATAAACTTCCCAGATTGTTCTATTATGATTACAATAAGATCTGATTGTCTAATTCTAGTAATATTGAAGAAAATCCTTAAAATGTAGGCAAACATTAACACTCATTGTTTAGTGGCATTTTAAAAGGTGAGGAATTGTATATATGTATTTAGTTAGGTATTAAATTAGACGAATAGAAAGTCAATGCAAATAATGTTCATTTATCTAAATTAGGTCTTAAGTCAAATTTTGTGCAGCCATTTAAAATTCATTATTAGGTAGGTTAGGTTAGAAAGTAGTATTTAAGTATAAAATTTAGCTGTTTAGCTCTCATGTTGATTTTAAACGTTAAAAAATAATTTAATTGAACAGAACTTTTTGCAAAAAAAGAATATTCACACATAAATGTGGCAGTTACATTCTATAAATGTTACAAATTACAATATGTCCAGTTATACAGGAAAATATAGGTATGCAATTATAGCACTAATCTATTTGTAGTTATTAGAGTTATAATTGCATGGTTATAGTACGTTCAAGTATTCTAATCATTTTATAGAATATTAAGCAGTTAGTTATCCCTACGATCTTCCACCAAACTTGTTAAACTGCTATTATCTAAATAGAGATGTTATTGGATCCGTCAGAGAAGTTTTCTTAAAGCGTTTTCAACTGGATTAAGGGAATGGAAACAAGAAGGCCAATTTAATATGACCTATGATGAGCATAGGATCTCTACTATATTCTAATCTTATTAAAGAAAAATGTGTCAGTTACACTATCTATAACTCAAGAACGGTTGTAGGAATATGATTGACAATTGGTGGAGAGATAGCTTAGAACCAGGAGACGGACATAATAGTTAATTCTGTTCGATCGAAACAGAAAAAAAAACTTAATAAACTCAAATATCTGGTTATTTACTTGATCTAGGGGGAATAGAGATCGCCCGGTTAGCTATGCATATATTACTAAATCCGAAATTAACGCGGACGAAGTCGTGGGCGAAAACTAGTATATGTATAGGCATAACAATAGCAGACTTAAATCTTCTTTAACTATTGTACTAAAGGTCATTTGTCAAACTTGTTTCTTACGTCAGAAGATATTTAAGTGCAGTTTTTGATATTTACAGTAGATAAAGAGACAATGTGTTACAGTTAGGGACTTTTTGCTTTCGATGTTTACACTCTCCAGTCTACTGGATTCATTTTAAAGGTAATTAAAAAAAGTCGTGTATGACACTTATTATATCTTAATTAGTAAATTTTTAACATCACCATTTTACCATATAAATACAATAGGAAATAATAATTAGTAATTTTTTTTAATCCGTAAGTAACTCATATATAAAATTCAGATCGCTCACCAATGACAAACAAGTAAACTCATACGTAATCAAATTGTTTTAAAAAGACAATAAAATACAAAATGTCATTCACCTAATCCATATAAAATATCAAAGAAATTTGTGACTAGGAAAAGAAAACGTCACAAAAGTTACAATTATATATTTCTGAATTTTTGATACGTAAAATAATAATTATTTTATTTAAATACAATGATAAGAAAAACTGTAAACATATTATGTGACCCTATCATAAGTTTATTACTTTTAATTGCTATCATTTATATTTCATTTATAATTTAATTTATAATAATTATTATTTTAAATAAAAAAAAATTAAATACCTCAACACATACCAGTTAGAGGTTTTAAGAAGAAATGCGAAATTAAAATGTTTATAGAATGAAACCAATGAATTGAATGTATGAATGAATGAGCAATTTCTAGGTCAACAACTGCGGAACGGTTTGAGATCTTCAAATCGAAAACAACAGCATTTGATTCAGTACAGCCGGATTGGATGCAAAGTTCATTCATTCGGCTTCATTCATTCATTCCGACAGTCATATGGGTTGATGTTATCATAAACGCTGGTAGCGTCTTTCTGAATAATAACCGTACCTCATACGACAACGTGTGATCCCTACTTTGATAGCGAATGCCCTCCAGCTGTTTTTCTCTACATTTGCATCTCATTTTAATGCCGTGTCTCAACTGAGGACTTTAACAAAGTTTAAATGGTATTGTAATTTTTCTTCATGAGCCATATATGAGTTTCCTTTGACTCTAAGATAAATATAGATTTTTTCTATCGTCCGATCCTAAAGTGACTTTAGAATTTATTCTTAAATGTTTCATTTGTCTGGATGCGAAGTTCCGGCGACGTGATAATCTATATTCAGATGAGACTCTATTATAACTCAATAAGGTCTGATTTCGTATAGCATGTAATGAAATCTATCAACAAATGTCCCAACAATCGGAGTGGACGTGGACAGCAAAGCACAAAAGTAAACTGCCCGTAACGTAATGCCAACGAAAGGGGACAAAGGAATAGAAACTTCGACATTTGACTATTTGGAGCTTCTAAATTATTATTATAAATTCTTATACATAAACTTTATCAAACTTATGCACATATTCTAAATATTTATATTATAATTTTTGTTGAAACAAAATACATTTATAATCTTCACCAAACGAACCTCACATCCGTAGGGTGGGTGAGTCAATATTTGCGACTAAAAACTACCAACAGTTGAAATACAAAGTCTTCTTAGATCAGATAAATTTTGAATACAATCACCTCTGTTCAATATTTATAATATTGAAAAAAATATTAAATATTATTGAATGAATAAATCCTAGTCTCTTTTGGTATATAAAATCGAATTATTAACTATACTTACCGTAGTATCGCTTTCAGAATTCAAATTAGTTATATTAAACGCACGATTTGGAGAGCCTCTTTAAGGCTTTTAAGGATAATTACAATGATCTTAACAAGATAACGTAAACGAAGTAGCGGTGATCAATTAGGAGCGAATGCATTTTTCCTTGCACCGACCGTGTTGATGATTTTTTCGCGTGTAAGGAGAGGCAATTAGTTGGAACTAGCTGCTTTAAGACGGTTTGCTTAGATGATTAATTATTTATATAATAATATATATAATAGAATATATATATTTAACTTATTACATTTTACGTTCAATAAAATAAATGTATAAAATAATATTACGAGCTTTCTATGTAAATCATTGAAAAAATATAGGTACGTTGATTGCGAGATTAAGGCATGCGTTTGAGCATAAAGCCTTTTAGATATATACGAAATTAAACAAATAATATTTGTTCTATTAAAAGTAAGAAAAAAGTTAGAATCAAATAAAAATAAAAAAAATTAAATACGAAATAATAAAGATACAGTATAAATGAAGTTTCTTAAAGTTGTAGTCCGCCGCAGAGATAATGTCCTATAAGCCGTGCTTACACCAGCGATTGCAACAAAGGCTCCTCACAGACGTTAGACAATTTAACGACAATATTGTCGTAAGTGTAAACTAACCATATTGAAATTCAATATCAGTATTAACAGAACTAAAGACAAAATTGTTTTTATAAATGTATGATAAAATTAGTTAGCTCTTTTTGTATTGCTATATGTACACATTATATATAAACATATATATATATTTGAACCATAATAACTTTTAAAGGTAGGTATGTCGTATGTATGTGTTTATCAAAGTCTTTGT